GTCACTCAATTACCAAAATCATACAAGGACCTTTCACCGTCCTGCCGTCGTGCCGCGCTGCTGACGCTGCCTCATCGTCGTCCCGCTCGTGGTGCTGCAGCAGCACATGGTCAAGCCTGTAACCGCAGCAACGCGCACGTTCTACCCTAGGGCCGCATTGTCTAGTAGCGCCGCTATGACACCCACATGCATGTGTGTCCTCGCTAGCGACTAGCCGCTCCCTGAGGCGACGTAGGGGCCTCACTCTGCGCCACACATGTAGCCGGTTACCATCTCGCCCCTGTCATCTTCCATTAAATGGAAACCGCTAGCGCCGAGCTGTCATCGCCATTGAAGGCGGGTAGACGAGGCTGTGCCGCATCGAAGCTGATCCTGCAGCGCCCGGTCGATCTCTGTACAATTACTTGTTCCAGATGTCAATTAAGGAACCTAGCTACACGCCAAGTCCACGTACAGTCCTAACCGAGCCCTATCAAGCTCCAATTTTGGAGTTTTCCCTCTGCCATACCATTAAGGCCGGGCTCGGCCGTGGACGAGGGCAGTCACCCACCGCACCACTCCACGCCAATCCACCTACCTCACGAGCTTCGCCTCCAGCTCCACTTCACCCTGCGCGCCTCGCTTGCACCTCTACCGCCTCACCGTAGCTGCTGACGCGGCTGCGCCGTCTCCGGTGGTGGGCCGCGGAGTGAGAATTCATTTTTCTTTTTTCTTAAGGAATTAAAAATAGTTTTATATTTTACATTCTGAGCTGAACTTTGAAAATTAATATTAATTCACATAGGTGTCCAAAAATTATGAAATAAAATTTGTTGGGTTTCTAAAAATGTTGTCTATATGATGGTATGATTAGATGATGCAGGTCTGAGTTGATGCTAAGGCTTATTAAATCATTTGCGAGTGTTTAGTATTATTTAGATTAGTATTTGTAGGAATTTTTGTGGCAAATTGGTAATAGCTTTGACCATGAAATTTTTACAGTAGATTCATTGTATTATTATATGATCGCTGTAATTTTTGTAGCCTCAGAATATGCTAAGTACTAGGATAGTTAGGTGCTCCTTGTTGTAATATAAGTTAAATCGCTAATAAGAGTAAGGTCACATTTTAGTTGCTAAGTTAATACCGGTTAGATGAATCCATACCTGTGTTTGTGGAAATGATAGGTAGTTAGTATCTTAACCATTAGAGCTAGCTTAGTGGCTTAGTAGATGTATTCTTATTTTAAGAATTGTTGTTACCTTAATATTAAAGTGTTGCATCATCATCGCATGTATGTAGAGAACGAGTTGGCGGAGATCGTGACCTTCGGAGATCACGAGTTCGAGGAGGTGATCGAGGAGTACGAGGAGGAGATTCTCGTACAGGAGGGAGCCCTGAAGCCACCAGTGACTGACTTTGCTAACACCATGCCTGCTCAAGGCAAGCCCCGGTGCATAACCCTTATTTTGAATAATCACTGGATATATAATGTGATGTGCATTTACGTTACATGATTTATATTGAAACTACATACATAAATAAACCTACCTATGAGTCCTACTAGTATAGGTCGAGTAGTTGTTATGCTTAGGCTATCGGTAGCATGAGTAACCTATCGTTACTCACAATAGGTGATTATTATTATTACTCTTATGATAAAATGGTAAAAGGAAATGGAGATCGGGTAGGGATATGGTACGGGTATTCGTGGGTGTAATAGGTTGTCCCGCGACCAATGGGCATAGCTTGGTTACACTGTTTTCCCTGTCCGTGTCGGTTAAGGACCGGCCGTTGCATTGGATTCTAGTCAGGTCACAGACTTATTATCCTGAGCATATACTTGCTTATGGGAGCAGGAAGGCTCGTTGCTCTCTTGTTGTGGGTTCCGGCTCTTTTCGGACTGACTGATTGGAGGCGGGGGTGGTGGAGGTCTAAGCACCACACTGAGTCCGGGACTCAGGAGTGGGGGCTTAGAGTCCAAGTTTAGATGGGGACCTAGACCCCTTGACAGGAGAGTAGTGGGTTGGTCTTGCTTATGCCTGGGGTACAAGTGGGGCGTGTGTTTTGGGGTACCCAGCTAGGATACATTAGTTCGCGAATTGTCGTGTGATACGGTACGACTTGTCTACGATCTAGCACCGTAGTAAGAACTGGAAGATGAAAGATGGTGAAATGGATCTGATTGCTTAACTCTTGCTTGAAAGTAGAACAAGTGCTTACATAGAATGATTAGCTAATGAACTAATCGGTACTACTAATAAGAAACATACATAAGGATTCACTATTATTAATGTTTTTTTGCAAAAAGGAAATACAGCAAACCATAAAGCTTATCATATCCTTTGGAGTCGGAAAAATATTCCCGCTAGTCGGGTAAGTCTTGCGAGTACATTGTGTACTCAGGGTTTATTTACCCCTGCTGCAGGTACAGCTTGAGGAGTGACTGTTGTGTGGAGGATTCTTCTGGTGGGTATAGACGGATCCTTGTATCTTATCGTTAGAAGTTTATTTCAATTCCGCTGTTTAAATTTCGCACTCTGAACTTGGTATTGTAATAATATATTTCCGAGAACTCTTGTTGTATGAAATGGACTAAGTATAAGCCCTAGTAATATGGTCTATCTAGGATAGCGGCACTGGTTTTATCTAATTAATTTTCTACAGGTACACTAACTTACGCTGCGTAAGAATCGTTTAGCAAGCGGAAAGTGAGTGTGCGATGTGCCGAAATTTTTTGCGAATGCCGCTATATTTCGGCTTGAGTGAACGGGTAGGCCGATGCATGCATCATGAAAAGAGAATCTTACTTAAACTAAATTTCCCCCACACGTATAAATTGAATTAGTGAATTGATAGGATAACATAAAAGAATGCTTTAATAAAAGCCTTATCATTTCTCTAAGTCTCTTGTTTCTAATCTGGAGGGTAGTCCCTAATGGTTGGTTCCTATCTGCCATAGATGAACCTGAGGTCTGGTCGCGGGAGTACCGGTGCTGGGATGGACCGTGGTCTTGGTGAAGACCAGGACGATAACGATCGCGGTGAGGACATTGGCAACACCAATGGGGACAGCCACGAGGCCCCACTTTTGGCTCCTCCTCCACCACCACCACCACCTCCGATGACCCATGCGGAGATAATGGCGGAGATGCTGGCTGCTCGGCGCGAGTCCGCCCGTGCCTTAGAGATGCTAGCCTAGGCGATTGGTAGCTTCGCCCGTGGGGGCCACGGAGGTAATGGCGGGAATGGGGGTGGTGCCCGTGGTCCCGAGGGGCCCTGTTCTTACTAGGATTTCTTGAAGACGCACCCACCCACGTTCACGCCAATGGCTGAGCCTCTGGATGCAAAGAATTGGCTTCGTATTATGGAGCAGAAGTGTTAGCTGCTCACTGTAACTGAAGAACAGAAGGTGCGCTTTGCAGCGCAGCAGCTGTTGGGTTCTGCCAATGCATGGTGGGACACGTTCAATGCCATGCAGCCGGTGGACCACCGTGTGACTTGGCAAGAGTTTACCGCTGCTTTCAGAGAGTACTACATTCCTGCTGGTGTGTTGAACCGAAAGTTGACTGAGTTTCTGGACCTGAAGCAAGGGAGCATGTCTGTGATGGATTATGTGAACAAGTTCAACCATCTTGCATAGTATGCTAGGACCCATGTAGACATTGATGAGAAGAAGAGGGACCATTTCTATCGTGACCTCTCTTGCAGTCTGCAGAAGGAGCTGTACATAGGGAACTACTAGACTTTTAGTGCTATGATGAATGCTGCTATTGCCATGGAAGGACTTCAGCGTTGACTCTCAGGCTGAGTGAAAGCGCAAGCGGGTGATTTACCCCTGTTGCAGGTGCATTGTGTACTCAGGCTAGTCGGGTAGGTCTTGCGAGTACATTGTGTACTCAAGATTTATTTACCCCTGTTGTAGGTGCAGCTTGAGGAGTGACTGTTGTGTGAAGGATTCTTCTGGTGGGCACAAACATATCCTTATATCTTATCGTTAAAAGTTTATTTTAAATTCCGCTGTTTAAATTCCTCACTCTAAACTTGTATTGTAATAATGTATTTCCTAGAACTCTTGTTGTATAAAATGGACTAAGTATTGTAAACTCGTTCTCATTATTGGATCCTAGAGAAAAAACGTGGATTATTCGAATTCTCCCTTGGTGTGCTCGATGGAACCGTCCGATGTAGCCAGCTTTCGAGGTGCTTAGTGTCTGGTGGAAGACGAGCGCTTCCAGAAACGTGCTATTTCAGATGGTTCTGCCACAACAAGTCATCTACACAGAGATGTACCAAATTCGATTGCTAATCTGTTGGTGGAAACAGACTATCAGGAATAGTTCCCCCAAGTATTGCAAAACTTAGTGGCTTAGTTCAAATATCATTGGGCCAAAACAATCCAACTGGTACGATTAACGAGTGGGTAGGAAAGATAACTAATCTACAACATTTAAATCTCAGATCGAACAGCTTCACAGGAACAAATCCACCGTCCATGGGAAACCTTAAACAACTGTTGAATTGTACCTTAGCTATAACGATTTCCGAGGCAGAATTCCTGCTGAGTTTGGCAAGTTGAGAAAACTCACTATACTAAATCTTTCATCAAACAAATTAAGTGGGGCCATTCCACCTTCTATTGCCCATCTTACACAATTGACACATCTCTATCTACACCAAAAATCTATTCTCTGATCTTTAACCATGTACCTTAGTTTGTAAGATTATGAAAGTCTTTTGCCCAAAATGATGTAAATGGATTGGTTTTTTTCACTGGTCTGGTATCCGTATTAAAAGTTTAAAAATATATTACGGATCAGTTGACAGATTCCTAAGATAGCACAGTTACCAAAAAGAATTGCGAGGAAAATCGAACTGCAGCCCAGACTAATAAAGGATCTTCAGGACCACTCCCAATCTTGGACCATAATCCGGCTATCCGCTTTGATCAAGGCTGAATGAAAGTGGGCAGGGAGCTATCGCCGTCCATATATATTCCTCCCAGCCAAGGCTTCAAGGGGTCAAGCCATTCCCTTCAGAAATTCCTGCGAGCCTAGGTCCTCCAGCCTTTCTGCTGTCTCCAAAACCATGTCCCTCAGATCATTCTGGTACTTAGTTACCCTGCAAAAATAAAATGTCACAACAGTATAGTGTAACGGCCTGGAAACTTTCTAGAGATGACTACTATGCACAGTGTCAACATGAAACAGGTATGGAACGCTGAAAGGCAAAGGTTGGTTAGAGAAATTAAAAATTGGCAACTTACACGGTGTTTCTATCTGAATGTAGACACGAGTGAGTTCAGTTTCTATCAGAATGTAGACACGATATTTTAAATTGTTCTTGTAAAACAAACAATACAATAAATTGGCATATTTCTTCACTTCATTGATTAGCTTGTTCCTACATAAACCAGCCATACAAGCAATCAACTGGAAATCACTAGTGACTCAGTGAGGCTTTTGAAATTCTTCACACAATTTGTGGTGTGTGTGGGGGGTGGGGTGGGGTGGGGGTATTCAAGACCGACCCAAAACAGTCTCTCAAGGTCGCAGCACAAATTCCACTTAAGGGATATATTACTATGGTATGCAGTTACACTTGCCCCATTCAGAACTAAGAATTCAGATGCAAAAGTGACGCTAACAAAGAACCATACCTGTCCCAAAGCTCAGGATCTCTTGCGGCCAGAATCCTAACTGCCAACAAACCTGCATTTTCTGCATTCCCGATAGCAACAGTCGCAACAGGGATACCTTTTGGCATCTGTGTACGGTTGAGAATACCAACACAACAATAAGCTTCATCCATAAGAGATCAGTGGCGAAAACAAAGGACCATCATGCATACATTGATGATGATATGATGAATTCTTCTATAGAGCTAAATAACGGACATTTCATTTCTGTGGGTGCTCTGTAACTGATAGGGCTAGGATCCCTACCGGAGCGGCTACGCAAGTTGTACGGATGCGAGATGGCTGGACGTGGGCGAGGACAGCGCGAGGGCGCCGTGGCTGCAACTGCCGAGAGAGAGAAAGAGGAGGCGGCTAGGGTTTCACCCGGCTAGGGTTTCTCCCGGCTCCCTGAGGAAGCCGGAAACAATAGTATGTTTCTGCTTAATCTCCCAAATAGAGTCTTACAAATATTTATAGGTCTCTCTAATAGCGATAATTATAAAATAACCCTCTAGCAACACTATAATTGCGACAATTATATGGGCCATAACCCTTTGATGGCCGGCTTCCCTCCTAGCCCTTAGCTGGGCTGCGACGGCTGTAGGGGATGCCGGTCATAACAGTAACGCTGTTCAATAGCAAAACGTGCATTGTAGTTTTTATGCCAGTGAGATGTGCCAGTGAGGCCACATACGTGCCCGAGTGGAAGCTTCAAAACATCACCCACTAAACAGTGAGATAACAGAAGATTGGTACAGTTCTAACATGAAGCTTACCAAAGAAAGTCTCAAGCTTGAAAAATCCATGTCATCATGACAGGAATCCCCTAGCAGAAATTGTTCTAGAATGCAACTGCCACTAAAACACTCTATGCTTGCAATGATAAAGGAAATGTGTCCATGTAATGAGCAATGAAAATGCAAAAAACCGAAAACATTAATGTCACCTTTAAGAGGGAAAAATCAGGCAACAAATAAAGCAAACGCAAGGGATCAAAAATGTACTAGAAGACTAGCCATCGACGAACTGCTAGGATTATTATCAAATGTGACATACTATAATCTGATTTTCAAATAAAAGAATTGCTTGGAACACTAACTTGCACAATAGATAGGAGGGAATCAAATCCTGACAGTGTTGATGTCTTGATGGGAACTCCAATTACTGGAAGAGAAGTCAATGAAGCTACCATCCCTGCAATAAACAAATGATGTTATCCTCAATTAAAAAACAAAAAATGTTAGTTGTTCTTGTTCCACAAACTTTATACACATATGGATCTGGTCAGCAGTTTAAAGGAAACACTGCTCTGTTCAGCATCACGCTACATAAATTAAACTTGGTGGTGGTGGTGGTGGGATAGAAAACAATGAGATGATATGGCTCCATCACAAAAATGAAGTAGAGTATTAAATCCTAACCCTAAAAAATAAAATGCTTCCAAAAGGTAAATGACCTCAATATCAATAAAATAGAAGTGCACTATCACACACACACACAATGTGACTTGAAATTTACGTTGAAACATCATATCACGGTTAATCCATTTGTGTGTTTTTATACTTGCCTGGTAAATGAGCTGCTCCACCTGCACCTGCAATTATGACCTCAAAACCTCTGTCTTTAGCAGACTTCGCATAATCATACATCCGCTCTGGTGTACGATGTGCAGAAACAATAGTTTGCTGAAAAATCCAGGCATCCACAATGTTACACTCTTCTCAAACATGACTTGGCATGCGAGCAGGCCACAGCTTGTCAAGAGAAAGGTTTCAGATATCAAACCTCACAAGGTATGTTGAACTCTTTCAAAACTCTCTCAGCATCTTTCATCACAGGAAGATCAGACTGAGATCCCATTATAATAGCGACACGAGGGCTAACTGCAGCAAAGATTACATCATTTCAGCATCTCCACAAATCAACTGAAATGAAAAAAAAAAGTCTAAGTTTTTTTTCCAAATAAAGATGTAAAATCAGGTCAAAAGCGTGAATAGTTTCACAATGACAGGTGTAAATTGTAAATAAATTAGCATGTCCACCACAACCATCAACAAAAGCAGCAGCAGCGATGATGTCATATGCCGGATGAGGGCCCTAGGCCCACATGGCCCAGGCGCCAACAGCAGCAGCGGCGCCAGGAGGGCCGCCGCCGACGGCAGCAGCAGCAGCGCCACCTAGGGGAGGCGCGCACAAGCAAGGGCATGTCCCCGCCGCTCCACTATCCATATCCGGAGGATCTCCAATAGGAATAGGATTAGCTAAAAGATATGAAGGAGTCCATATCTATAAGGACTTCCCCCATTAGATTACTTAAGATGTAAGTCTACCTAGGACTATAAGTAGAGGGGCTATGTAATCATTGGAATCAAGAAAGGATTGCCTCAAGGCTTATCTCCCCTTCCCCTCTCCCACCTTCCTGCGCCGACCCTCTCCCTCTCTCCTGCCCTAGCGCCGCCGCCCTCTCCCTACGCCGCCGCCCACAGCTCCCTCTCCAACCCTAGCCGCCACCCCCTAGGGCCCCTCCCTGCCGGGCTCTTACAGATGATGATGACAAGAACAACAAAATGGAGCCTAGCTGGGACAGATAAAACAATAGCAATGAACTGTTACATATAATTCAGGGCAACCAAAAGATTTGTGAATGCAATACCTTCCTTGGGATCAGATGAGTTGCTTTGCAGCAAATTGTCCAAGCGTGATTTTACACTTATCTTAGAAGACCCCACAATTGTAATATGACCCATCTTCCTTTGCTTCCGCATCTCTGAAAGAAAAGTATTCTAAATGATATTTCTGACCTAGGGAAGCAAGAATGTTTTTGTGTGGAGTAAGATGTTTTGTGGAGTAAGCTAACCTGGCTTTGCATACCAATGGACTGATGCGCCTGGAATGTTTTAGCCCTCCTGATAAGCTGATGAGCCAAAAAGAATCCGCTGCCTCACCCTACAGCACAATCAAGTCTGATATATTAAACTGTAACTGAATTACTACAAATAACTAAAAATAAACACGGAGGCATCCGATATCAGCATAGTTAATTAGTAATTGCATTCAGTATATTCCAAATGTAATCATAAACACAGAAGAAAACAGCATTTGTTACCTCATCCTCACCCAGGATGTTGTACATTATTGCTGCAGGAGCTTTCATTGAAGGGTCACCAAGAGGAAGGCCAAGAATAGCACGTAAATGCTGCTCATATTGTGAGGTGTAGCATGACTCTATTGTGTGATGCCCACTGTTGTGAGGCCTAGGGGCTACTTCATTCAATAAAATCTATTGAAATAACACGAGGATAATGTAATGATGTAATCACCACTGCAGGAGGGTGAAATTTTGAAAAAAAATAAGTAGATGGTCCAACAAACCTGATTGTCTTCTGTTAAAAATAACTCTACAGCAAAAACACCAGCTCCTTCTAATGACTTGATAGCTTTTTCAGCCACACTAGTAGCCAACTTCTTTATTTTGTCAGGTACTTCAGCAGGTGCTTCAACAACATGACATATGTTTTCCCTGAAGGTTCACAGACATTCTTTGTATTTTCGAAATTTAAAAATACAGAGCAAACTGTAATTCAAAGAAAGGAACAAGAATGAGTAACAAACTATCATAACAAAAAAAGTCTTACTTGTGAATTGTTTCAACAACAGGATAGCAGACAGTAGAGCTGTCTCTGCTCCTTGCCACAATTACAGAAAGCTCCTATATACAAAGGATAGAGAATACAGTAAACTATAATTATAATTAACAGAAGTACCTAAAAAGTCCTCATAACAGTATCACACGACGAAAATAGTGATCGCCTATGAACCATGATTAAGAAAGCATTACACCAGTCATTCTCATACAAACAGGATACCTTATAGCAGACTCTCTTTTTTTTTACAAAGAGATCAAATATCTTCTAGTCAACTTGCAAAATACATCTTATATTCATATCAGCTACATGAAAATATCAGGAACACAAACATCAAGAATGATTAACAGATAGATAGCAGACCACTAGCATGATTTTGCAAAATGATTATGACGGAAAAAAAATCAACACCACACCAAAAAACGTCAATTTATAGAACATGAAGTTGAAATAAGATATCAAAATGAAAAAAGAATAAACCACAGGATTTTAACCTAAATTGACAGACTAAAAAGAGTCATTTTCTACATGCATATCAAACAAAATTTTCACTAACCTTTACGAAAGGAGTCCACCTCTCAACATACAAGCCACGCTCAAACCCACCCAGTGCTGCACGAAGTAAGAATGTGAACAAAACACTAGATTCAGAATTATAGACCTTAGTGCAGTGTTATCTACTTACAGGTTAATTTTCAAAGAAAAATGAGCAGTCCCTAGAGAAACCATGTAATTTTAAGAATTCAAAGAGAAAACCTAAATCATTTTTCAATCTACTTACAAGCAACAACAGAAGATAGCTCCTCTTTGTTCTTGGCTACAGCATTGCCTCGACCATCATATGCTAATCTCTTGCTTTTTACCATTAGAGGATAGCCAAACTTTTCCCCAGCTTCCTCCATACTGTGTAAAGTATCTACCTGCAAATCAATACTATTAAATTATGTAGAGACACTTAAAAAATACAATACTATCCAACAGGTTAGAAGTTTGTGCATTACTTCCATGAAGTCAGGCAATGGGATCCCACGTTTTGAGAAATGCCTTTTCTGCCTGTACTTGTCCTGCGATTGATTGTGAATACACAACGAACTATCAGTAATTACCATAAATGAAGTAGTTGAAATAGGTACAATGAAGATCTTAGGAGACATAATCTATGAAATTAGAATTACACTTATCTACAATTGGTGCTGCAAGATCAGAGATCGAGACAGGGTCACAGAGCTAATTTGTTAAAGTGTTACAGTTAGCGTAACAAAATCAGTTGAATAAGTAGCTGTGATCAGATTTTTTTTTTATATCTGGCGAGAAAGTACTGTATATACATGTTGGTGTTTGGCACAAGGAGAGGAAAATTACCTGAATAATCATGATTGTGGAGGCTTTAGGCTCGCAGTCAACACCCTGTTTTTCCAGCCTCTCAAGTGTGGCGGCATCAACATGCTCAATCTCTACTGTTAGGACCCCACACCTAATAACAGAAGTTTAAAAAAAAAGAGATGAACGGAAGCAGCCAACGGGCATTGCATATATACGGCCTCCAAACAAGCGTGAAAGGATTGCAACTTAACCGACCTCTTGGCGAACTCCCGGATCGTGTCCCCATCAGTGAAGCTCCCGACGACGTGCTCATCGCAAACCGAGCTCGCGGGGCAGCCCGGAAGGGGGTCGAGGATGATGATTCTAATCCCCATCTGGCTCGCCGCCTGGCAGAGCATCTTCCCGAGCTGGCCTCCCCCGAGGACTCCGACGACGGTGTTGGTGACGCCGTGCACCGGCGGACCACCCTGCCTGGAACACAGCACAGCACAAGCATCCATCAGGCGCAGGAAGCGCCGGCCTGTCACACGCCCTGGCCATCGCGGTCGGCGCGAATTGGTACGATAGGACACGGAGAGACTCCGCTCGGTGCTCACCCGTCGTGCGGGAGCGCGGCGGGCTGCATGGATGCCCGGGCGCGCAGCGAGGGGAGAGGCGGCGGCGGCGCGGACGCGGGGCCCCGCGGCTTCCAGGACGCGCGGCGCGGGCGGGCGCCCGCGGACGCGGAGGGGAGGTAGGGGGACGAGGAGGAGGGGGAGGTGGACGCAGGGGACGGCACGCTGAGGAGCCTGGCGTGCATGCTCTCTCACTCCCGGTGGCGGCCGGTGGCTAGGGCTCAAGCAGGGGGACACGACAGGTGCGGCGCAAGAGGTGAGGAGCGGTCGGTAGGGGGCGCGGCGGCGGCGGCGCGGAAAGCGATTCGTGCTTTTGAGCGTGGCGCCGCTCGCTACGCTATGCAATGGGCATCCGCTTTTCCGCGCTCGCTTCGGGCTGTGGCGCATTTGCAGGTTGCAACATGGAATCTTTCATCTTTGCCCTGAATGGGCTGACCTGAACCAAACATATTGGGCTAAAAATTAACCCAAATTGAAATTTTATTTAGCTAACAACTAGTTAAAGATTTAGCTAAAAAATTAGTCCACTTATTAATCCTTTTATTTGGATGCACAAGAATTAATTTAAACTAAAATTAGTTAGCTAGCAATTAGCTCATGGTATCCAAACATGCATAAAATCTAGCCGTTCTTGTCGAGGGAATTTGTACTCAAGATGACTATTACCTTCGTTACACATTGTAGATCTTATTTAGTCCTAGGTCAAATTTCTTTCACCAAATTTGTTGAGAAAAATCAACAGTATCTACATCAAAATAGGTCTTAGTTTGTCTCTACTGACCACATCTCATACAACCTAGTCCTTTTTAACTTTATAGTTTAGCTTATACTAGATCCGTGCCCGTGCGTTGCTACAAGATAGCTAAACTTTTGTACTAAAAACACACTGATCGCACGATAAGATAACAATACTGTGAAATTAAATACCAACGTTAAAGTGACATTTAATCAAAAAAGCAAAGTTCGTGAAATTAACACAGTCATGAAAAGCGCGGTGTTGCAGGCTCACAAACTCTACTATATAGACATTTCTGTGATGCGACTAAGATAATATTTTATATCCGCAGGAAGAAATTTCCGATATCAATTTCTTTCGTACGCCAATAAATCAACGAATAAGTTCCGCCGCATATATAAATCATTAAATCATCCCACAACAAATACTCCATCCAACCATATAGGAACCATGCATTCATAAATCAGTGTCGCCATTGGGCAACAGATTTAGATAAAAAAAAATTGTGCATATAACTACATCTATGTATTGGTATGAAGAATGATAACCAGTAAGCATAATAATCTTATGTTCAAAAAAAGTAAGCATAATAATCTTCCTCATCGCAGGTATGAACTAAAACTCAACAAAATAGGAGTGACTACAAAAATTAAGCACGTATAGTGATCATCCTCCATTGAATCTGGACATTCATTATTGCCAAAGCATCGAGATTGTTCTTCCTGACAAAAACAGGGAGGCTTCACTGTTATCAAATGTCATGTCAATGCAACATACCAAAAAAATTGTTTCCAGTAAGAACATGCTATGAACTGGACACTCATACATGTATATGTAAGTTCGATGGATTGAGATTTTATTTTAACAAAAAAGCTTCAAAAGCTTCCATATACATATATGATGTTTTCTCAATATTTATATGTGCTCTGGCCTGACAAAAATCTGTTGCAATAGACTCATGCTCAAGCCGTTGGGTACAGAGTAACGGTGGCTCTTTCTAATAGAACAAATAATGCACCTCAACTCCAGAACTCCTGTACATCAATGCGTTGAAAGAGTTACAAGGAATAAGAGAAAAGCTTCAAGACATGTTTATCTAATTTATTAATCACCGCTAAGATCCATCTGCTTGCCAAAGCTCGAAACCAAACAAGATGAGAAATTTACCAAGATAAATGTGGCAATGGCAATTATGAGTAAACCAACAGACCTCATTGATCCCTTTACCCTGAAAGGGGATAGGAGAATGTCATAGTTGGGAATAAAACACAACAGAGAATAAGAAATAAATCCGCAACAGAAAATATGGAATGTGTCTGAGCTGCTGATGCTAGTCCTGCGAAGAGAAAATGTAATCAGTTCGATCAAGGGTTGATCTGTTGCTGGACTGACAATTTGAAAAACAAAAAAGAGAGCACGAGCTGCTTCTGTACACTAAACAGAGAAAACTGCAGCTCGGCCTATTTTACAAAATCATGCGCAAAACCAAACCCGATTACAATTAACATGAAACCAGAATCACATCTTCACTCGAGGTGCTGTACACTGAATAGAGAAAAAACTGCAGCTCAAACTATGACAAATCAGTTGCAAAACCAAACTTGATGCAACAGCAGAATGCCACGCGTCGCCCTCCCATTAAACATTTAAAGAGGTAAGACTCTAAGGGGATGAAACAACTGAACAAAATCACATTTTAATGTATAGGAAACAACAGCAACCTACCTCATGAGAGTGTCAAGACGGAGGTTATTTATTGTTCCAAACACTTCATGTTGTGAAATATAGAATGCATCATTCAAAACATCTGCATGCTTTAACAGCTCCAGATGAGCATGAGAAACTTCTATTTTTGCCAAAACAATATCTTGTTTTTCCTGCACTGAAGTGCCAATTTTTTCAATCAGTAAATTATCAGTGACAGAAGAAAATATTAGGAAATAATGCACATAGATAAGGAATCATAATTTCTGCTATGTGCAGATAAGAAGGTAGTATGAAACATTGCAATGCAGCCATTGTGCACATTGCCTAAACATTATTGGCTTTAGTCAGCAATTTATTGACACAGAAGTCGACAAATGACAATTTCTCTCACAGATTATCTCTATTTCTAGATGCTAATGCTAATCAGAATTCGAATGCTCAAATCTGAAAAAGGTAGGTCACCTAGCTACACATTAGAGATGCTATTGCTGTCAGTGACTCAGTGGTTGGATTGTCCAACACTAACCAAATACTGCAGGCAGCTGGCTGTTGCAGTCCCCTGACTGTAGCTATATACATTTATTCTTTAATTGTAGCTATATACCTATTACTAAAGACATTTATTCTTTAATTGTTTACTGAACTGTAGCTATATACACATCACATGTTTTTTTAAACTGCAACTCCAGTCAAGACGAAAAACCAATTGAATGTGTCAGCCTAAGATCAGTGGTACACTGAACCCCTTTTGTTATCTTAAAAAGTATACTCAATGGACAACTGCAAGCACTGAGAAGCAGCAACAAATCTCTACAATTAATTGAGATTACTAAAGACATTTTTTCTCCCATGGGCTGAACATTCAGAGATCAAATTGTTAAATCTCTACAATTGGAAGTTCTGTCAGATGTGGATATTCAAGTAACTATTTTCATCCTCCCCCACTGGATTTCTAGGTTGTACATTATTTTTTTGAAACATATCATTTCATACAGAAGATTGCAAACAAAAAAGATCGTTTATCCAAAGTTATCTCGCGTGATTGCGTCGCGGGATCGGAAGGGGAAAGCGCGGTGAAACCGGGTGAGCGGGCGGGGATCGCAGGGGCCAGTTCGACGAGGCGAGGCGATGTTTTTGTCCCGCGATGCCGGTGTCTTATTAGTTGTGAGAGATAAGCTTAAGTGGTCGACAAACACCCATACATGTAATCTAGCTTATACAATCTATGACACTCAAGCTTATATAATCCTATAAGCTGCTACGAACCGGCTTATCTTCACTTTTTTGCACATATAAATAGGAGCTGTAGCGTAAATAAACATGCCTTTAATTTTATTTTATTAAATCCTCCAAGAAGTATGTCTTTGATTGTGTGTAATTATGTTAGTGTTTTATATATTAGGGAAATTTGGCTCCTGTACACTAAAAATGACCACGCTTTGCTGCTGGACATGTAAAATGAAGCGATTTGCTGGAGGACACTCTTGTTCTTGACAAATTCGTCTAATAAAATATTAATTTCTAGCTTTTGAGAAGAGAGAAGGGTGGTAAAATATCTTTTTTGCCCCTGCCCCTTTCTTCTACCTTGGTCCGACGCGAGGTTGAGGACGGCGTCCACCCGCTACGTCGCGACGCCCCTCCCCATCCTCGCCCTCCACCCGCTACGTCGCGACGCCACCCGCGCCCAACCTCTGCCAGCGCGTCCGCGCGTCGTCCTCCACCCGCTGTGCTGCGACACCACCCGTGTCCAACCTCCGCCCGCGCGTCCGCGCGCCGCCATGGCCGTGCGTCGTCTTCCACCCGTTGCGCAACGACGCCACTCGCGCTCGTCCTCCACCCGTGCGCCCCGCGCGTCCGCGCGCCGCCATGGACGCACGTCGGGCTGTGGAGGGAGCCGCACCGGTGGGATGCGGGGAGGGGCGCGGCTGCGCCGCATGGAGAAGGGTACTCCGTCGTCGCAAGGGTAATAGGCGTGCCATGGTGGCCCGCGCCATGCTCACCCTCGCCCAAACTCGCCCTCGGCATGGTGGCCACGACGCGGCCGAAAGCACCAAGACGCAGCGTGCCCGACGCACGCACCGCCGACCCGGCGCCGCCGGACCTTACTGGGGCGTGCTGCAGGCGAGCTTCGTCAAGCGCATCAACAAAGCGGGCGGGGCCGCGGGGGAACGCGAAACGCGGCCTGCTCGAAGCGCGTTCGGCGAGGTGAGTGCCGGGCGAGGGCGAGCGTGACCACCATGGTGTGGGGCCGCATACCATTAATGCATGTGTGAAGCACGGCACGGCCGCTATGGCGGCAACCACCGTGGCTCCGGCGCGGGGCGGGACGAGGACGGGGGCCAGGGCTCGGCTCGACTCAGGGCAGGGAGGGGCGGAGGAGCAAGCGAGGCCGCCGGGGTTCGGCTCGTGGCGGCAGCGGGTCATGGGCGCGGACGACGTGGGGAAGAGAGAGAAGGAAAAAAGGAAAAGAGAAAGAGGCAGGGGTATTAAAGACATTTCACCGCTCTTCTCTCTCCTCCAAACACGAAAATTAATATTTTATTCGGTTCGGTGTCCACCAGCAAATTTGACAAGAAGTAGAATGTCTATCAACAAACTGTTCCATTTTGCATGTCTAACAACAAATAGAGGTCACGTTCAGTGTCTTGTAGCCAATTTTTCCTATATATTAATATATGTGTGTATATATACTATAAATAAATTGAAATTGAATAAAGTTAACTTAGGACAGAATTAGCATGA